ACTTCCTTGGGTTTGATTAATTTGCTAGAGTGGCTCATGGAACTCAAGAAAATATTCTACTTACTAGATTACTGTTCATTATAAATGGATATAACTCAGGAACAGCCAGATAGGAGAGATTCACGTAGGGCAAGGAATGAAGAAAAGGGTGTGAGGCTTATATACCCTCTGGGTGTGCCGCTCGCCCAGCATCTCCACATGTTCACCAGCTTGGAAGCTCTCCAAACCCTTCCTTTTGGGTTTTTTCCTTTAAAGCCTTCATTACATAGACACAATTGATTAAATCCCTGGGTCATTGGTGATTGATTCAACGTGTAGCTCTTCTCCGCTCTTGAAGGTTGAGGGTGAGACTGAAAGTTGTAACTCTTATCTTGATTGGTTCCCCTGGCAACCAGCCCCCATCCCTAGAGGGACTCCAGAAATCACCTCATTAACATAAGCCTCAGTGTGGTTGAAAGAAGCTCTGATGAATAACAGAAGACACCCATTTCCTCTGGAACTATTTTAGGCACTGGAACTGTATTAAATACAACAAAAGATGCCCCTACGGATTCTCTAGGACATTACAAGGGTTTTTGGACTTCTGTACGGGGAACCATAGATGAAGACCAAATCTATTTTCCTACTATAAATTACAGTATCCCATATGGTGTGTACTTAGTGAAAAGTTTTGATGTTTATTCAGTAAAAATAGGTATGAGTTCAAATGCCAGCTCTTTTCAGCAGCCACGTTTATAACCTTAAACAGGTTTTGTTTGCTGTTTAATTTACATAAGAAAAAACATTCTTTTTTACAACTGATTAAGCTATATCAAAGTGTATAAAGTGTGAAAGTCCTCCTCTACCCTTTCCCTCTGCTGAAAAGTAGAAAATCCCTTTCTTTTACAGAGGTACTGTTTTCATTGTTTAACTTTATATTTTTTCTTTTGTGAATTTATGAAACTATTTGGACATAAATGCAATAGAACTTTTAGAACATAAATGGGATTGTGCCACACTTAAGTGTCTTGAAGATCTCTGGGTTGTCCATTGATGTATATAGTGACCACATACGATTTTGTAGTCTACGTGCTCCATAGTTAACTGATTGCTGATTGATGAACACTGCTTTTTTTTCCTAATTTATGCTATTCCAGATACTGCAGCAGTTAACATTCTTACACATTTATGTTTGCAGGTACATGCGTGGGTATTTTCTATATTTGGTAAGAAAGATGACTAGAAGTGAAATGGCTTTGTGAAAGGGTAGGGTATACACATTTAAAATTTGCAAATATCTTACCATCTTGCCTTTGAAATTCCTGGATTTGATTTGCTAATGTTTTATATAGCAGTTTTGCATCTTTGATCATAATTGGCAAAGGCCTCATCGTGGAATCCTGCACACACAGTGGGTTGCAATACAGGAAATGAACTCTAACCTTGGGGAATTATAGTAAGCAGAAATAGGCCTGCTTTTTTTCCCACAGGGAGACACTGCCACATCCCTCAGAGAGGCTTGCTGGGGACACAGTCCTGAGAAGTGGTCTGGGTGAAGAGCAGCCAGGGCCTTCTTGGCGTACCCTGCAGAAACATACAGGCTGCTCAGGATCCCTCGCAGCTTGTGTCCCCCACATCAGTGTGTCTAGGTGCCTTCAGTGGTGTAAGCCAGAAATATGTGAATCATCTTTGTCATTGCCGCCTTCTTGTATTCACTGCATCACCAAATTCTGTAAATTTTGTCTCCTAAATACTTTTCAAAGAGTTCTTCCCCCCGCCCCTCCTTCTACCACCTCTCCAGTCTGTTACCATCCACTTATACTCCTACTTGGGTCTCTTACCCATTGCCTTCTTCCAACCTGTTTTCTCTCCAGTCAAGACTGATCTTGTAAAACACAGATGTAGTCATGCCATCTGACTTGTATAAAACATTTTATTGGTTTGAGAAACAGCAAGGAGGTCCGGTGGCTAGAATGGAATAAGGAGAGAACAGGAGAGGAGATCAGGAAGGTAATGGAAAATCAGGTTGTTTCTGACCTGTTAGATGGCTACTAACGTTTTGGCTTTTATTCAGAGTCAGAGTGGAAGTCAGGAGGGCTTTAGTGACATGATTTGACCAGTTATAAAAGGATCACTGACTGCTGTGTCAAGAATACACTTATGGGGGAGGAAGCAAGTACATAATCGGGGAGATTATTTAGGGGGTTGTTATAATAACCTAATGCAAGATGATGGTGTCTTATACCATGCTGGCAGGAATGGAGGCAGTAAGAAGTGGTCAGATTTTGGATGTCTTTTGCAGGTAGAACTATAGAACTTGCATTTTGCATATAGGATATGAAAGAGAACCAAGTTTGATTCCTGAGCTACTGGATCGATGATGTGTCATTTACTAAGATGGGGATGATTGTAGGAGGTTTGGGAAGATTTGGATCAGGAGCTCAGTTTTAGTCCTGTTCAGTGTGAAATACTTACTAGGAGTAGACTTGCATGTAAGAGCTGTTTAGTAGGCAGTCAAATAATAGTCTGGAGTTCATGGAAGAGGTCTGGGCTGTTGTATGTACATGTTTGAAGTTGTTCGTGTATCTATAGATAGATAGATGTAAGGTTACCAAAGGAGTGATTGCAGATGAAGAAGTCCCAAGCCCTCCCACTTCAGAGGCTGATGGAATGAGGAATACTAGCAGTAAAACTTGAGGCTGAGCTCTTTATAGAATGCTTCTGCTTACCTGTCGGACTCAATTTTCTGCTCCTTCTCCAAGCTCCAGCCACAGTGGCTTTCTGTCCATTGAATGTGCTAAACTCATTTCCAACTTAGGACCTTGGCACTTCCTCTTCCTTCTGCTTGGGAACCACTTTCCTAGATCCTTATGCGGCTGCTTCCCTTTTGTCATTTGTCCTAAGGTCTCAGCTCAGAAGTGAGCTTCACAGAGAGGCCTTCCTTGATGACCTTTAGCTAACGCAGCGAGGTGTTTGTACAAGAATACTCACCCACAAAATATGGCACCTGGTCTACTTAGCAGTGATTCTTTTCTTTTTTTAGATTCTACTGAATCTTTGTACGAGTTTTAATATCTGATTATTAATAAAATGTTAAAAAAATTTTTATAGTATACACGTTATAACTCTATAGCTTGATGAATTTTCACAAACTGAACTTGCCCAGAAGAATTGACAATATTCTCGAAGCCCCTCTTGTTGCCCCTTTTCAGTCACTAACTCCTTTCCACGTAGTTATTGGATAATCACTATTTTGACTTAACTCATCAGATTCGTTTCAGCTGTTTTCTTTTATATCTGGCTTCTTTTGTTGAAGAATATATTTGAGTATGTAGTTGTAGTTCATTAATTCACATTAATTTCTGGTTTACATAGCTTGAGGTTATATTAGATGGACCTAAAGAGTTGTGACTATTGTCTTTAAACCCCTAGATTCATTTTGTCTGAAGTCAGTTGAACTCACAAGTCTGTGAGTCCTCCAGTTCTGTTCTTCTTCAGTGTTGATTTGGCTATTCTAGGTATTTTACTTTCCATATTATCGTTCCTTTGCTTTCTCATGTAAATTTTAGAATCAGCTTGTCTATTTTTACAAAAAAAGCCTGGAATTCTCATTGGATTATATATAGTCTATAGATCTATTGGGGAGAATTGACATCTTAGCAATTTTGAGTCTTCCTATTCATGAATAGTGTTTCATAATTTTCATAACTTGTACATACTTTGTTAGATTTACTTTAAGTACTTTTTCTTGTACTATTTTAAGGATACCAATTTTTAAAAAATTTTCATTCTGCATTTGTTCATTGTTATTATATAGAAATATAGTTGAAGTTGAACTTGGTATATTGACTTTGTATTCTATGACCTTGGTAGGTTAAAGTTGCTTATTAGTTTCATTAATTTAAAAAAAAAGTTCTTTGGGATATTCTGTATAGTGATGCAAGTCAATTGTAAATAGATACAGTTTTATATATTCCTGTATAATCTGTGTGCCTTTTAGATCTTTTTCTTACTTTGATGTGCTATCTAGACCTTTCAGTATGTTGCTGAATAGAAGTGGTGAGAACAGACATCTTTGCCTTGTTCTTTGTAGGAACAAAATCGTAGTTGCAGTCCTTTACTGTTAAGGAGGATAGTAGCTCTGTATTTTTGTAGATGCCCTTCATCAGGTTGAAGAAGTTCCTATCCTTAACTTGCTGATTCTTTTTTAAAATCATAAATGGATATTGGATTTTGTCTTTTTTTTTTCCTGTATCTGTTGAGAAAATCATATGGTTTTCTTTTAATTTGGCTATGTAGTGAATTGTTGATTGTTGTAGTGAATTATTGATTATTGTAGTATATTGGTTGTTTTCCACAAGTATTTTTAAAAAATTAAGCATCGGGGCGCCTGGGTGGCTCAGTTGGTTAAGCGACTGCCTTCGGCTCAGGTCATGATCTTGGAGTCCCGGGATCGAGTCCCACATCGGGCTTCCTGCTCGGCAGGGGGTCTGCTTCTCCCTCTGACCCTCTTCCCTCTCATGCTCTCTACCTCTCATTCTCTCTCTCTCAAATAAATAAATAAAATCTTTAAAAAAAAATAAAAAAATAAAAAATAAAAAATTAAGCATCATTTAACAAGTCTTAATTTTTTTGACTACTGCTTATTAAATCCCATATCTGCCTGCCTATCTGTCGATCTAGTATATCTTTTCTCCCTGGCTCTTATTACTGCCAGCATGCTGTATGTTCTATTTATTTATTTGTATATTCTGCCCATCCTCAGTGGAATTTAAGCTCCATGTTTTGTTCTCTGTTGTATCGCCCGCCAGTCCCTAGAATGTTGTCTGGAATTAAAGTAGGATTCTGTAAATATTTGTTCAGTAAGTGAATATCTGCTCTCAAGGAGTTCATAGTCTAGGAGGGGAGAAAGAGGTACAGAAATGTGATACAACTTAGGAGAACTAAAAACAATTCTTTGGGAGCTCAAGCTGGCGGAGACTAAGTTCATGTAACAGATTTCTTTTCCTTTTTTCTATCAGATTTGAAAGAAGATACATCTAGGGAAAATTTATTTAATGATGCAGAAAATAAGAAGAATTCAATAAAAATGTGGTTTAGTCCTCGAAGTAAGAAGGTCAGATATGTCGTGAGTAAAGTTTCAGTGCAAACCCAGCCTCAAGTGATAAATGATGCGAATGCTCAGCAGGCTTCCATGTACGAATTTGTTTCTACAAGTCCTCCAACAGGTGTTTCTGAGAAGGCTAAAAAGGCTTCTGCAAGATCTGGAAAAAAACAGAAAAAGAAAACTTTAGCTGAAATCAACCAAGAATGGAACTTGGAGGCAGAAAAAGAAGATGGTGAACTTGACTCCAAAGAGGAATTAAAGGAAAAACTGGTGTCCTTCCTCAGCCAGCCGTCTGTTATCGCTAGTCCTCAGACAAATGGTGAGATAGACTTACTAGCCAGTGGCTCTGCCGCGGAATCACAGGGTTGTAGCAGCCTAACTGAAGTCTCTTTACCATTAGCTGAGCACATAGAGTCCCCAGAAACGGAGAGCAGGAATGAAGAAGTGACTCCTGAGAAGCTCTGTGCGAATCCTCGTCCATCTAAGCAGTGTTTGCTGTCAGGTCCCGGTGGGCGACGTGGGTGTCGCAGCAGACAGTCCAGTCCCGTCCCTAAGAGATGCAGGAGCAGCATTCCTGGCACCAGCAGACAGCACATAGTGCTTTCAGAAAACAAACCATCGCCTGGCTGCCCCTCACCACCCTCAAACAAACTCAAAGTTGGTGACACATTAAGGAGGAGAAAGAGTAATGTATCAGACAAGTCCATGAGCCTCTTACCAGGTACGCCACCTTCTGCACTGAACAACCCGAGTTACAGACGGATGATGTCTAGCCCCTCAGCAGCGAAGCTGTCACCCATTAGCCTTATGGCTGTGAAAAGAAATCATAGAGGAGAGACTCTGCTCCATATTGCTTCCATTAAGGTAGGATGCTTACCCTGAAATACAATTTTGGAATGAGACCAGCCATAAAACAATTTCTGCAGGGCTTATGAACAGTGACCTAAGATGACTAGGATAGTTAGCCTACCACATGTGATACTTCCTTTGAACCAGAGAAGAAAATTCACAGGGACCGCCTCCCCACCTCAGAGCAGTGGCCTGAGGAGCATGATCTCGCAGGAGAAAACTAGTATTTCAATATTTCAGCTTCTACTTTGCCAGGGGCTTACATTTGTCTATTCCATAATGGTTTTGTTCAGTTTTCACCACATTCTCCTGCTTTATGAATACAGACAACTGCCAAGTTACTGCTGGCAGCACATCTTTACCTAGCCAGAGAGCTAGGGACTGTGTGGGAGGTGACAGACTTCTGTATTTCGGATGCTTGTCGTGGGCACTGCCAGGATTTGCAAGGTTGAAAGTTGTGGTCCGTACCTTTTTCCAATGACCTGGAAATTTGACTCAGAACTGGCTCCCATGGTTGACCATGAAGGAGTTTGTCTGTATCCCATAGCCAGCCATTTCTTTACTAGCCTGTCCATTCAAGTTTCCTCTCTTTATTTACTGCCTCAACACTAGAGGTGTGGCAGTGTGAGTTTTTGGGAACCTAGCCCATTTGTCAGGCATGAGATATACTTGCAAGGGTTCATCTTTGCAGCCGACTCAAGAACTGCACATACGGGGAGCACTTAGCACCATAGCTTCATAGACTTTGTGATTTCATGCAAGTGTTATCAAAATAAAATATGGGAGAGCTTAGGACTGAATTAGGATAGCTTTTATGATCTTCTAGTAAATTCACCAGGAAATCCTTGACTCTTTTGCATGGATAGAGAACTTTGGGGGATCTGGAAGCCGTTGGAGACCCCCAAACATAGGGCTGGTCGGCAACACAAAACATCTGGGAAGAACATGGAGTAGACATTGAGTCCAGGCATTTCTATATTTTTGTATGGAGAAAAGGAAAAGCATAAAAAGGAGTTTTCCCAACTGTTAGGGTTTTCTTTCTTTATTTTATTTAAAAAGAATTTTTTTAAGATTTTATTTATTTATTTGAGAGAGACAGAGATAGTGAGAGAGAGCAGGAGCGAGGAGAAGAGGGAGAAGCAGACTCCCCACTGAGCAGGGAGCCTGATGCGGGGCTCGATCCCAGGACCCTGAGATCGTGACCTGAGCTGAAGGCAGACGCTTAATGGTCTGAGCCACCCAGGCGCCCCTAGGGTTTTATTTTTATTTATTTGTTTATTTGTTTATTTATTTATTTATCCTTGCTTTATCTTCTAATAAATGATGAATATAGAATACTCTCTATCTGATAACAGGGAAGAGGAAAACTGCTAGTTTCTATTTACATATCCTTTGAACAACTTGAATTTTCAAAGTTTGTCCCGGGTATACTTTATTTTTTGCAAAGCATTAATTTAAAAAATCAGACTATATTTTTTGTCTTACTTGTTATATATCTAGTATATATGCTCATAAGCTAGTATAATCCTAACTTTACAATGTTATAAATGCTTCATTAGACATTAGTAGCTAGCATAATAATAATTTTTTCATTTTTCTGACTAGCGCATAAGAATGTAGACTGCTTTAGTTTCTACATTTTGCTTTCTGGTAATTACTTTCAGACCACCAGGCAAGCGTCCATTTACATTGGTAGAGAATTTTTCTTTAACCATAATAATAATTTATCTTTACTAATGAAGGTCCCTAAGAACTAGGCCATAATTGGACAAACTCTTTCTTAGAGGGGCAGAGTAAATATTTTCAGCTTCGCGGGTCATGTAGTCTCTACAGCTATTCCTGTCTGCCCGTAGTTCAAAAGCAGTCATAGACAATATGTAAACCAATAAAACTTGACATATAAAATCATGTGTCTGGCCTATAGGCCATAGTTTGCCTACCCTTGGCCTCAGCAATGGAAAAAAGACACAGAATCAAGACCAGGAAAAAAAAAATGATGCTATCTTGTGAATTTTCTCCATTGAAGTTTGCTTCATATAAGTTTTGTCGGATTGTTAGTTTACCTACGAAGAGTCTTGCCACTATAAAAATTACCCATTTGATTCTCTTGAACTTATCAAATACTGTTATTGTCACTAGTTGGCAGATTCTGATACAGTACATTTAAGAAAAGCTAATTGATTTCTGTTGTTTTTTAAGTCACTATTTAACAAAGATGCACTGTTTTAAAAATTTGTTAGAGTTGAGTGTAAACGCCCCATCCAGGTTGATTTTAATGAACAAATACTTGGGGGGCACAAGAAACCCAGTGGACTTATCAGGATATTTATCTTTTTATAAGTAGTATTCATTTCCTTTTCTGCCGTAATTTTCTCACTTGCAGCCAAGAATGAATGATCTGTGTGTACTAGAAAACTACATATTGTGATTCTGCTATCTTAATTTATGTTTTGTGCCCACCTACTTTAGAAAAAGATGTGAGGTGGCTCTGAAGTTCACATACTAAAAATGGAACAAGGAAGGAGCAGGGAGAGAGGAGAGGTAACTGTGGCTGAGTGGAGTGTAGATCTAATGACCTTTCAGGCAGCCAAGGCAGATAAGGAGTAGTACCAGGTTTTTTGCTGTGAAAGGTAGATTTTTGTTGTTGTTGTGCTTGTTTTTCCCCAGAGTGTCTTGGTTGACTTGCCATTTCCATCGTGCCAATCAACTTTTAGGAGTGCACGGTGGCACCATATATGGTTGGTGTGTGCACTGAGGGTAGAGAGCCGCGCCCCCCCCCCCGCCCCAGCAGTTCTATTAGGCTAGTTAGCATCTCTTACTGCAGTTACAGCTTTACAGAATCATGTCTGATCTTGGTAACGTGATTAATAAAATTCTATTAATATCTTGCCACATACCTACCCCTTGGCATCTTTCTTGGCCATAATCTTTCCACAGCTACTACCCTAGTGGAACTTATCTTTTCTTGCCCTGACCGCCTGTGTCTGTTTCCTGTTGCTATCATAGCAAGTTACCACAAATTTAGTGACTTAAGGCAAATTAATTTTTTTTTTTTTTTTTTTTTTTTACAGTTCTGTAGGTTAGAAGGCCAGTATGGGACTCACTGGACTAAAATCAGTTTGTGAGCTGTGTTACATTCTGGAGGCTCTAAGAGAGACCCATTTCCTTGCTTATTTGGGATGTTGCACAGAACTGGATAGTTCCTTGTGGTGGGAGGACTGAGATCCTGTTTTCTTGCTGATTTTCTGCTGAGGGCCATTCTCATGTTCGTTTGTTGTTCTTTCTTTTTTTTTAATTATGTTAATCACCATACATTATATCATTAGTTCTTGATGTAGTGTTCCATGACTCATTGTCCGCGTATAACACCCGGTGCTCCATTCAGTACCTGCCCTCCTCAATATCCATCACCAGGCTAACCCATCCCCCCACCCCCCTCCCCTCTAGAACCCTCAGTTTGTTTAGTTGATCATAGAGTTGAGCCTCCATTTCTGGGCTCTCTGTTCTGTTCCATTGATCTATGTGTCTGTTTTTGTGCCAGTACCATACTGTCTTGATGATGACAGCTTTGTAATAGAGCT